AAATGATATAAAGTCTGATGAATGGCTAATTTCGTAGGTTCCAGGAATCGTTTATCACGTCGGAATGGCGATCTCATTCAATAATACAACTATACTCATGATTTAGAGCAGGTCTAAAAAAGACTCGTAGACTTTGAGAATAAGAACCAACGCCAGGGGCCAGAACTGTAAATTAAAAGAACTGCGTTGCAACTCATCCACACGACAACATTTCTTCTCGCTTCGAGTCACCGACATGTGGAACAGCCTCCCTGATTACATCGTTGACGCTCGGAGTATAAACGCGTTCAAGAACAGACTAGATAAAGCTATGGAGAAATATATGTTCAGAGTTGATATGCCTAGCACCATACCGAAACTGGTACGAGTCTAGTAGCGAGTTCAAACTATCTTCAGTTTTGAAAAGATCCGATCAAAAGAACTGTTTTTAGATCTCCTTTGATTTTGTCACAAAATTAACAAGAATCGGCGACAGGCCACAACAGGCCTATTCTTCAGCGCCGACATCACTATGATACGATATGATATATAATATGATATGATATGATATGATATGATATGATATGATATGATATGATATGATATGATATGAAATGATATGATATGATATGATATGAAATAATAATGAAGTAGTATTTCGTAGGATTGTAAGTTTATATTTAATGACTTCGACATGATTCTGCGCAAAAATTATATTCAAATGATGCAATATTGAGCAAGATTGTAAGTATTAATTAAATGACTTCGACATATTCCCCAAAAAATTATATATATATATATATATGAATCAATATTTTGCCGGAATTATATACAAATTTCCATTAAATTATTTCCACACTATCCTTTAAAAAATATCTCTAACTAAAATACAGTTCCGTGGATAATTAGTTTAAATTGTATTACTGCTAAAGTGCTAAATCACGATCAATACTCCAAATAATACAAGCAATGAAGGTTTTATTATACGAGTTTTCGTTACTATTAATACGAGTTGTATCCACATACCTATGTCCGGTGTCAATTCACTTGACCTGATAGAGATTGAGGACGAGTCAACATCTGATAGACACGTGATAGATCACGCGATCAAGACCGCAGTAGTGGGCGGAAGCGAACGTTATAAAAGGGCTAGCAACCTTTAGCAGAGCCCCCCAGTAGCTGATGAGCACTCCGCGATGTAGCGTGTCGGTAGAGTTCTCCGACCTTACGGTCGATGCCGTAGCTTATACCTCTGTATCGCAACTCTGTATAACCACCCCGTATACAAGATACGTTATCTGAACTGATGTGTCTTACTTATCCCTCACTACCTTAGTCAACTTTCAGTCCGGCGACCCCATTAGATGCCTTGACAGTTTTTGTTGTTTATGCCGTTTCTTCTTTTCACATGCTCATCTTGCACAGCATGTTGTTGAATTCCATTAGCGGTGCTGTATGCGATCACCCGCTGTAGCTATTGTAGAAATGTTGCTCTATATGATGTGAAGTATTAGCTTAAGTTGTTGATTCCTTTGTTGACTGCCATCGACAGTCACTGCCACATCGCTGCCACCTTCTTGCGACACCGCTGAGTTGTTGTAGAACGCTTGTAGACGCCCTCAGCTGATGCCGGCCCTTGTAGTCGCTCTCGTAGATGCTCTCGTAGACGCTCTTGTAGACCCTCTTGTCTCTGCATGTTGTACCGGATTCAGAGAACGCAAAAAGAATGCGTGGACGCTTCAAATCACTCTGCGTCAGTAGTAGGCTCGAAAGTCTTGACGTTGCAGGTTAACTAAGACGCGCCAGACAAAACTTGAATATTCTCATAGTTTTCGGCTGCAGAAATTAGTAGATGAAGGTTTTCTTGGTATTTTCTTCAGACGTTAAATGATTTAAACATCGCAGAACAATCCGTTGAAAGGCTTGGCCGCACGAAAGTCACTATGCGACAGGGTTGCTATAAACACAAACACTTCAAAAGTCTTTCACTCCACCACCGTATTTAAAGTCTCACAATTGTAGTCAAACAGTCGAGTTTCACTTTTAAGAAAACACGGCTGTTATCACTTAGTTCGGGCGCCAAAATTACGTACTGGCTGTTCGGGCGTCGAAATTTCCGAAGACTCTATACGTGATGTGACTGGAGAGAAACTATCTCTATACGGGGTGGTAATATGCGAGAGTTATAATAGATAGGAATAAGCGAGTGACGGCCGGTTAGGCCAGAGCGACTCAAGCTACACGCTACACCGCGGAGTGCTTATCAGCTACTGGGGGCTATTGCGGGGCACGACAGCGTCTCCATAGAACGCCCTGAGTTTGCTCCTGACGAAGGCATGGAGCTGCAGGTACAGAGGCCGCAGCTGACGCCAGATCTGCTCCACGTCTGCCTCCAGGTCTCCTACTTCGTACTTGCTGCGCCAGTAGTCGCCTGCGTCTGTGTGACCTGTAGGATAAAATCAGTAAAAATTATTTTTGTTAACCATTTAATAACAGAGTTACCCCGAAATAAAGGCTTTCGGTCATAAATTTCAATTATGAGCGAAAATTTTAATTTTGTATGCGCGGCGCCTGCGTCCGTTCGACCTGTATGATAACAAACAGTAAAAATTATCTTTGTTTATTATTTGATAACAGAGTTACCACAAAATAAATTTTTCGGTCATAAATTTCAAATCCCAACGGAATTTTTAATTTTGTATTTGCTGTGCCAGTAGTCTTGTATCTGCTTGACTTTTAGGGTGTGGAGGAGTGAGAATAATATTTATTTGTCATTTATCTATCAACAATATTATAGTAAAATTATTTTTTTCAGTCATTGACTTTGATCAATTTAGTTAGCGGATTTTAAAAGTACTAAATAAATTAATGTCGATGTGGGCGTTCTCATTCCATACTGGCTGTTCAACTTTAAATATATGCCCAGAAATCCGAATAATAATGCTACTGGCATATTCGTTGGTTGCCTTACTAATACTGATGCTATAATATATAATAATAACCTTAACATTTAAGGCCAACTGTTATGTTTCATTACATGCATATAACGACTCCTGAGCTAATTGTCAAGTGCTTTCGAGTTAAATTTTTGTATCCCCGGAAAATTTGGGAAACGGTCTTCCAGTGTAGACTAAGCAAGAGTGAACTAAAAATTCACATGTGCCATGTTCAAGTAATACTTGTATCAGCCGAGTTACAAATAGGTCTTATAGAATCCTATTAACATGTAAAATGAAGCAACATATTTCAAAAGAAACATATGAACTCTGGATGTTCCTTTAATTAAAATAAAGCGATCGTCGAAGCCGTGCCATCAACTATGAACGTTGATAATTGAACTATGAACATTGATAATTGAACTATGAACATTGATAATTGAACTATGAACATTGATAATTGAACTATGAACATTGATAATTGAACTAGAGAAAACCCTGATAATTGAACTAGAGAGAAACCCTTATACTTGAACTAGAAAGAAACCCTGGTAATTTAATCGTTTATAACTCTGATAATTCAATATTACGCAACTCCCGTGACGATCTCGACGTAGCCATCACGCGGGTAACGTTTGAATATTGCCAGGATATAGAACATTTATAATTGAACTAGAGAGAATTCTGATAATTTAATAGTTTAAAACACTGCTAATTTAACTATCTAGGTATCCATTTCGTGAGATTACTGATAATTCAATTATTGAGAACGCTGATAATTTACCTATTGGGTACACTGATAATATAAGTATTGAAAACACTGGTAGTTCAACTATCGAGGACACTGATAATTCAATTATTAAAAACACGGATGACTATATTATTTATAAACGAATAAGTTAATAATTTATAACACTGGCAATTCAATTATTGAGAACACTGATAGTTTCGTACTAGCCTCCATGTTTTCTGCATGTTGAGGACTGGTAGCTATAGTTTCCTACGTTGTTCTGGCTTGAGGAAGACTGGAGTGTCTTGCTGTCGGAAGTCTGCTAGATTCTTACCTTCACAGGTCGTTTGTTAAGAACTATTTGTTGGCTTCAGTCTGCAAGTTTCTTACCAGGTTCTAAGTTTTATATTGAAGCCGTACTATCAAAAACAGGTGAGTTTGTCACTCCGTCAGCCGATCACGGAAGGATGTGGCACTGAGCCAACTTAATAATCACAGAGGAGAAATCAGCGGATATTTGTATCTATTCGACTTATGGTAGCACGGGCCCTTGCAGACAAGTCATTTGGTTTCGGAATATATTATAAATTATAATAATAGCGGATGCAGCGTTTATTAGGCCCGTAGGCCTGTTGCCGATACTTACCATCGCAGAACATTCACAGCTTGTTGCGGTCTCGAACACGCAACTCACTGCTCCAATTTGGCTTTGCTACACCGCCCGGCCTCCTCGCCGATTCTGACCAGAAACTGGCGCTCAGTGCTGGGACCGAACCCGCGCCTCTCTGCTGCAATCCTGATATTCTGAACTGTAACGGTGTAACCACTGGGCCACTCTGCCCGAAACGAGCTGCCACCAGGGAGAAATAAATTCCCGACCGCTGGTCACAAGAACAGGCTCTAACCACTAAGACATGGAAGCAAAGCTTCAAACCGGACATTAAAGTTACCCGGTTGGCAGGTTCTAGGCTGAGGGCTGGTAGAAAAGTCTTTTCAGGTGCAATCTGCAAGTTTCTAACCCGGTTCTAGGTCGAGAGTTGGAAGACAAGNAAATAGATTAGGAAATCTCGAATATTAATCTAGCTTTACACCACAAAGGAAATACATATAACAAGGGATATGCGCATAAGTTGGGGATACTAAGACCTGTCTCTTATACACATCTAGATGTGTATAAGAGACAGGTCTACTGCAGCTGTTGGCTGACCTGATGGGTGAAAACCGGTAAATGGGGTCAAAATTTCGAACTGGGTTATAGGTACCCAGTCTACTGCAGCTGTTGACTGATCTGATGGGTGAAAAACCGTGTAAATGGGGGCCAAAATAAATGTCGAACTGGGTTATAGGTACAATGTCTACTGCAGCTGTTGGCTGACCTGATGGGTGAAAGACGGGTAAATGGGGTCAAAATGTCGAAATGGGTTACAAAAACCCAGTCTACTTTAACCGCTGGTCAATCTGATATCTAAAAAAACACGATCTGGCCGCGAATATATGGAAATAGATCAGTGAAACCTACCCTACTGAAGTTGCATGCCGATCTGAGCTTGGAATTGGGAGTAGTCAAGGTTGTGTCAACCCCCATATAATATTCAAAAGCACCCTAAGTAATTTTAAATAAGGTCACAATATGCCATCAGCCAAAAATGTCATAAAGTCAGACTGATCAAAGACTTCTTGTCAAACATAGCAACCCCACTGGCGTAGACAGAGCTCTGAACGTGTGAATTTACGAAAAATTTGATACTTAATCGTCATTGAATTTGGTTAAATAATATTTTACTGCTTAATTAGTGTTCTAGTTGGTTGTTTGCGGCCTCCCTCCGGTCTAGAAAAATGGGCTGAATAACGAATCGCTTAATGTTAAGAAGCGAATCCGGACCTATTTGATAATAGAATTTAAAATCTTAATGAATTAAAAGAAAAAAATCGAAATGAGATAGCCTAAAATTAATAAAAAAATAGAAACTAATAATCTTACCGCAACAATTGTAAAATTTGAAGCAATAGAATAAACTATGGACAACAACTTGGAGGAAGTTCAAACTTCTGAGGTGGAGCTTAATGCAGTAAATTTTCAGCAAGTCTGAAAATACCAGAAAAATACCAGATTTAGGCAAATATACCAGATCTAAAATATTCATACCAGACACCTTCTGCAAATACCAGATTTGCCAAATCTGGTATAGAAATATACCATCTGGCAACGCTGAATTCAACAAGACTGTATCACCGCGACCTCGTAGCTCGTTATATGCAAGGAGATTTAAGTCACTTTAATTACAGAGACTAATTAACACTTTCTCTCTCTCTCATTATCGTCCGGTTCGTACATCTCCTTGAAACTATACAAACAGAAGACGTACAGTATATGCTGAACCTTCAACATAAAAAGCTTCCTATATGTTCGGTGTAAGTTCATTAATAATTGTGCGTGTGTGCTACAACTCCCATACAAGTGATGGTTACCGACGCATACATTAGATAAAATTCGGGCCATCGTTCTTTGCAATTTGAGCGAGAAAAATGAATACTTTTCTCGCCAAAATTTTTTGAAAAGTTATGATATTTTAAGTAAATTACCGATCTACTAGCAGGGTAAACATGGCGTTGTTATACGTCGATAACCTCTGCAAAATCCCGTTATACGAAACGCTATCATCATGCATATATGTATACAATTCATAATTTCGGTACTAGAATAAATTAATCAACGTATGTTGCGTCCAACTCACATTTCGAATGGAACTCCTCCTATTTAATTACCAACGTGATATAAGAAATAAAATAGAAGCATTTACTACTCAATACAATTTAAAGATAAAATTTAAAACCGAGGGCAACTTAAAACTGAATGTACTACTCCTGAATATAATTTTAAAATATCAGGTTTCGTTATTATCATGACGCGTCAGGTATATTGGGATACGTGCCCGAATAACAATATTTATTTTCGGCTTTATAACAAGGCTTACCAAACAAATTCGCCGATTCTATAATAGATATTTAATATTTTTATATATAATCGATAAATAGTAAATCGACATAAAATATAAAAATACGACACATTAAATGTTTGTATTGTGTTTCTTGCCTTGACCCAGACCAGGATATTTTATTCACAGAAATAAAATCATACGGCATTGCAAATATTCGTAAAATAATAAAATTATTCGGTACTTTATCTACTGAATCTAAATATTAATGTAAACAAATGAAATACAAATTTAATGAATTTGTTCTGCAGTGGTCCCCAGTTCAGAATAACTACTGTATTGCAAATGAAAGATGGCACCATGTACATTAATTATTCAATTATTCACAGTACCTTTTAATGAACGTACTACAATGATAAAGATAAACGCGCACCTCAGTAGTGAGAGCCGCACGGTAACGACGCATGGTAGAGTTTGACAAATGTACGTTCACTAAACTTATATCAAAACGCAGCTAAATGACGCACTCATATTGTTGTTACCGTCACGACCTTGGCGTGAAGTTTTAGGTCAACAACGCAGTAATTAACGAGATCCGTGAATTATGCTACGCATAGTTAAAGGAAGCCGTTCTATTGTGCGTACCTCAAGAGGATCGCAACTTCCGCTAGCTTGGGGGCCAACACAAAGTGTAAAAGGAAAGAACCACGTGGAAATACTGTACGTTTTTTCAGGGTCGAGGCTATATATATGTGAAGGAAGCTTTTGCAGTGTTGTAACTGAGTAAGAAAACATAGAAATGCAGGTAAAGTTCGGATGAAATAAAGTTCAAGTAAATATGTTGGATGCAAGATAATTATTGCACAGGAGAAAGCTTGATTGATATTTCGAAATAATTCTGAAGAAAAGAATCGTGACAAAACTTCATTTATGCTAGAGTTATAGACAGATCAAACTTTATTAGTCCAGCATTTTTTTACATTCCGTCAAAGCAATGTTAAAGGCAATGATTACCGTTATGGAACATTATGGAACAATAATGATATATATATTTACCCCATGCAATGTCATTATATTTTACTTCTTTAATTTAGCTACATTATATTTTAAGTGGGTCCGCTTCTGTGCCGTCAGTTTCTTCTAACCCTGGTATCACAGATACAATAATCGAATTTTGCCCCTTATATATTTTATATTTGCCCCTTATATAATACGTATTTTTGAAGAGGGTTCATTTAAATTGTTGTCTATGCTGCCTATGTATTTTCCTCAGAGACTATATAATACCCACGCAAAATAAGAATTTTTTTATAATTTATTTGATATCAACACACGTATTTGTTCTCCGTGCATTGACGATCAATCGTCCCCACTAGTTTTCTCCTTGGAAATATTTAGTAGATATATAGTATATATGCTAGACATGCGAATAATAAATCAATTCAAATTTTTACTCAAGACAATACTGAAATTTCATTTGAAAATCTGTATATTTTTTCATATTTTATCTGAAACGTTAATTACCGTCCTTGGATAAATGAATACATTGAGGAAAAATTGTAATAATTTTTTTTTGGCAAAACAGTGGAGTTTTCTCAGTGTTGACAGACGATCGATGCCCATAGAAATAAAAGTTTAAAATTTGAAGAAATGAACAGTGTTAGAGTTAAAAATGGATTAGATTGAAATAAATTAAGTAGAAAAATAGATTAGGAAATCTCGAATATTAATCTAGCTTTACACCACAAAGGAAATACATATAACAAGGGATATGCGCATAAGTTGGGGATACTAAGACAATGCCAGGTTCATCTTTTATAGAAAAACAATTTTAATCGTTATCAAAATCTGGCTAAACGCACACAATGCTGGTGTGTTTCCTTGTTTGGTACGACTTTCGGGCTACCGGATGTGTGCGTTCAAAATATAATGCTTATACCTGGATTTTTCGTCTTCCTCAGTTTGAATATTGTTTTTTTTCCAATTCCCATCAGGTTTGAGACGTTTATATAACGTGGATGAAACATCGTTTCAAGAAAACCGGCTCGGAATCAACGATATTTTAACGTCATTCATCTAGAGGCTAATTAAGTCATGCACTGCAGTCATGAACGTCCAAAAGAAATGCCGAAACATAAATAAACCGCAGCAAAAAGTGCAATTTAGACCCATGCTCGACATCAAACGACCCTTAATAGTTTAAATTCATGTCAGCCCGACGTTACCCGGGATAGGTAGTCCTTGCATTTTCTTCAAAAAATCGTTACTATAAATCCCGAATTTGGATATCCCGAAGCTCTTTCATACGAATTCATTAAATAATTTTGAATTAAAGTACCGTAATTTGTTACGGAATTCTCATTCAAATCCTATTTTGAAATTTTAAGGAACCTTGCATTATTTGACATAATTTACCGTTACAAATGAAAAATTACATATTAATTAGCAGTAACTCCCTCCTCAATTTTTTATATGTCACAGAACCCCACAAAAACAATTTAATCACGACAGACAGAATAAGTGACCAATCAGCCCCTATTTATTTCCAGATCAGGCTTCGAAGAGTTAAATAAAAATATATTTCGAGAAATATGTGTAAGAGTTAAGACATATAGAATTTGTATAAATTTCACGCCTGATTTTGAATCAAGAGAACTGAAGACAAACTTAATTATCATTTATCCTCAATTTCTGAACCTAATTATCGAAAATTTGTGTATCTTTTTATGCAATTTCCTTAACGGATTTCTAACAGTGCGTTGAAAACAGAAAAATTCTCAATAGGAGATGAACTGGCAACTGCGATCAAACTGACCAGATGAAAATAAATCAAAGTGATAATAAATAATATTAAATAAAGCTGCGGCGAGAGTCACGAGTGCGAAAAATACGGAGACCTTGTGAAGGTTTCGTAATACGGCGGTCATGAGGGGAGAAAGCTGGTGTAAGTGACGCCTGGGTGTATAGGTGGTGTGTGATTGCTGTGTGTTGAATGTGTAGCTACTGTGTGACGACCGTGTGACTGCTGTGTGCCGTCCGTGTGGCTGCTGTGTGCCGTGTGCCGACCGTGTGGCTGCTGTGTGCCGACCGTGTGACTGCTGTGTGCCGTGTGCCGACCGTGTGGCTGCTGTGTACCGTCCGTGTGGCTGCTGTGTGCCGACCGTGTGACGGCTGTATGATGACCGTGTGGCTGCTGTGTACCGTCCGTGTGGCTGCTGTGCGACGACCGTGTGGCTACTGTGTGATGACCGTGTGGCTGCTGTGTGACAACCGTGTAGCTCTTGTATATTATTAACGGTGGCTACAATGTGGCGATTGCCACTCGTCTCAATTTGTACAATACAGCAATTTATGTATGGTGTTTTGTTCAGCTGTCATTGAACTGTTAAAAGTCAAAGTCAGGGCTATTGCTTAGTTGTAAATACTTTGTTAGTTAACGGCTGATCACATTGCAATAGAGTCATAGTTTGACAAATTGTACGATAATTATGTCGTTCAGGAATTTTTGTTGGATTGATTTCATATGCATTTGAGACTGTTATTGTTAGATATACTGTACTTCGTTTCAAAATTGTTGAGCACTTCATTTGTACAACATGATGACATTGTGGTTACTACATGGTGGTACTATAATAAATAATAACTAATAATATTAAATAATGTTACGGCCGTTACACTGCCGTGAATAAATTCACCATAACACGACAGTTGTATTCAGGTTACTGCATGGTGGGTACTATAATAAATAATTAGCAATTATATTAAATAATTCTACTGCCCTTACACAGAATAAACTCACCATAACACGACGGTTGTATTCAGTAACGTTAGTGTTATAACGCCAGCTCGCCTCCATGAAGGCGTTACACATGTGCGAAGCGGTCACGTCATAACGCTGTAGAAAACGTATCGCTTCGTTCTCATCCGTCTTGTGACCCTGGAGAAGGAATTCATAAAGTCTTATGAATGTCATGTCACGGCTAGAAATTAACTTCGTTTTTACTCCCCATTGTAGATTGTTAGGAAAAGGTTCTTGAGACCAGCCGTGCGTATAACATAATTTGTAATATTTACAACGGTTATAATTTGTATAATTTGTAATAATATTTGTAATATTATTGTTTGATTAAATATTTTTGTAAATAACATTTGTAATGTTATTAACATAGTTTGTAATATTTACAACGGATTTACCGGCGGTCAGTGTGATCATGGTTAGTCTTGGGGGAAAACTGAGTGAATTGTCAAAGAAATTTTGTAAAAGTTGTTCGACTTTAGGTAGTATTAAAAAAGTAATTTAAAGTTTCGTAACCTCTTTCGTGTAATAACGGCTGATTAATTGCGATACAAAAATTAAAAAAAAAAATTTTTTGTTGATACCCTGTATAGCAAGGCATTGCTAAAATGCCTAACAGTAAGTTCAAAGTTGGTAATTTCTGATTAAATACGTTTTGTAATGCTTAAATTATAACAAGATGCTTAAACCAAATAACCAGGAATGAATCATCTTATTATTCGATAAATAAGTTTCAAGCGTTTGTAGAGTTCAAGCAATGACAAATATTCTGAGTTATTTTCGAAAATAAGTAAAAGTAGATGCAGAAATAAAATTTGAGAAGAAATTCAAATTGATAATTGATTCAGCTTAAAAACAAATTTTTGAACTAGAAATCCAGATGTACAGAAAAATTTTTTATAAAAGGCAAATGTTTTAGCCCTTACTACCAATAAACTTCGTCTAAATACCATTCATATCCATAGGTCTGGCAATTAAAGAAACCGGCTGTTGAAAAACTATTAAAGTAAACGGCAAATATTAACCTCTCAACTAAAGTAAATATCCGTTAAAAAGTATCAAAGTAAAACAATAAATATTACAATACTTATTCAAACGCATTTAAAATAACTCACCGAGACTCCCGTGAGTTGCCTGAGCACCGTCTGGTGTGACGGGCTGACGCACCAGAGAAACAGCAACAGCAACCACCACCGCATGGTCACGGCTATTTATTAATGTACATAAATCATATAATAATGATTCGGGTTTATGTGAATAAAAGATATTTATCTTTGAGTATACTTTTTCTAAATTTATTCGCGTGTTATATAAATCATATAATAATGATTCGATTTTATGTGAATAAAATATATTTATCTTTGCGTATACTTCTTCTAAATTTATTCGCGCGTTATATAAATCATATAATAATTATTCACTTGAATGTGATTACTTTCTTGCTTATACTTCTTCTGAATTGATTCATGTGTTGAATGCTGCAGATATTTATAAGTTTTTTATATATAACGTTTCAGTTCATGAAACACTCATATATGATGATGAGTCAATATTTTGAAACCATGTATTATTTAAGCTATTTTATATGATTGCTTGATATAAGAGAGATTACTAAAAATCTTGTTGATATATGCGCAGTTATTAGCAATTTCACTACAGAGTGTTACAGTGTGCTACCATCTGTAAAATTAAAGGAAAAACATTCATTATTTGAATTAATCTCTAAACGAACTAGTGGGCTCTGCTTGATTGTCACCAAACCTTTTGTATTTTAATTATAAAAGTGTAATAATTATGAAGGTGAATAAGCGTGCTTATAGTAAATAAAAGCCATATGAGTGCTTTAATAACTTACAGAGGTTGATTGGGTCCCACAAATGGTTAAATAAAATAGTTCAACAAGTGTGACTAATAGCAAGTGTGTTAAAGCACACGCAGCATTGAACAATAGAGGTCTTACCTAAAATGAAAGTTTTATTTGCAGAAACTATACCAATAAGAAGATATACGTGTTCTATGGAACATTACCCAACTGTACCCTTAAGAATATATTTGTAGGTGTTCTATGAACATTACCCAACTGTACCCATAAGAAGATATATGTGTTCTATGGAACATTACCCAATTCTGTACCCATATAAGAAGATATAGGTGTTCTATGGAACATTACCCAATTCTGTACCCATATAAGAAGATATAGGTGTTCTATGAACATTACCCAACTGTACCCATAAGAAGATATAGGTGTTCTATGGAGCACATTACCCGATTAAAGTGCACTTATAGGGCCTTGTGTTATTTTATTCCAAATTAATGAAATTTTTCTCATTAAAAATTTTGCATTTATGAAGCACGGTATAATACAGCATTATTGATGCAATTTTCGCGCAATTTCAGCGAAGAGTCACAGAAGTAGAGAGTGAAAACAGCGCCAATTGTGATTTCTAGTAAAATTCATGTACACGATATACCGAAAACCCTCATGGTAGAACCAGAATTTCTGGAAATTTCGTAAACTTTATATATAATACAAAAATGAATCGTAAAATGGGTATAAAGTGACAGAAAATACCGTAAGCTTGCAATAGTTATCGAAAAATTGCGCGTGATAAACCGGAATCACGCTACACGCGTCACACAGTGGCTTCCTTCCACGATCGCGCGGACAGCCGCGGAACCGGTTCACCTTGAAACCAAAACCTGCACGTCTATCAATTAACAGGTTCGGGAGCGTGAAGCGTCTCACGTACGCCATTGAAATGGGCGAACCGAGCAAAAAGAACACGAAATATTGCAAAGGGTATCGTAGAAGCCGAAAACTATACTAATTGAAATAATTGTAAAAATAAACATGAAATCATTTAAAATCAAACGATTTTTGCATAGGGAATTGTGGAACATGAAAAATATCAACGAAATATGAAGTCCACGCTAAAATATTTAGCGCAAATCATACGCCAGACGCAATGCTTAAAACAATGCGACAGTAGACCAGCGCACGCGTTTATATATCCAAGGATTGATTTGTTATCATTGATGCAGGAAATAAACGCTTCAAGATAATTAATAGCCTTAAATACTGCACAGAATGAGTACATTTTAAACTAACATTAGTACTACTTGATGAAGCCTTGAACGTTTATTTTCTGGTATTTGTTGTTGATGCTCAAATTGAATGAGATTGAAATGTTAGAAAGGGAAATCAAACGCGCAACGTCGCAAAATATCCGCTGCATCAAAAAACTTATTCGTTGTTTTTACTTGAGTTTTTTAAGCGGCATCGAGTAAAATAAAAGTGCAGCCTTTGATAAAAGTTTTAGTTAATAGAGAGAGAATTGTGAATGTACAGTAAATAACAGAAAAAAATCATTAAAATATTTAGTAGTATAGTTAGGATATGAAGAAAATATCATACATAAAAATACTAAATATCTATAGATTCTATTAATTAAGTAAGGAAGAGTTGCGGAGAAGAAGAACAAAGTCTATCTTTTTTTCTCTGTGCAGAGACACGCCTGTGCAGAGACACGTCTGTGCAGAGACACGCCTGTGCAGAGACACGCCTGTGCAGAGACACGCCTGTGCAGAGACATGCCTGTGCAGAGACATGCCTGTGCAGAGACACGCCTGTGCAAAGACACGCCTCTGCAGAGACACGCCTGTGCAGAGACACGCCTGTGCAGAGACAGGTCTGTGCAGAGACACGTCTGTGCAGAGACAGGTCTGTGCAGAGACACGTCTGTGCAGAGACAGGTCTGTGCAGAGACACGCCTGTGCAGAGACACGCCTGTGCAGAGACACGCCTGTGCAGAGACACGCCTGTGCAGAGACACGTATGTGCAGAGACGCGCCTGTGCAGAGACGCGCCTGTGCAGAGACACGCCTGTGCAGAGACACGCCTGTATAAAACGAAGCAAAAAATTTCTCTAGCCTCAGGCAAAGCATGGCAAGAAATGTGCATCTAAATCATAAAAATTGTTCAAGCTCTATTAATGAAGATCTTCGCTTATCAAATTATCAGTTATTTCACTATTAAATGTCTTTGGTACTAACAATTTCCCACTATTCCATAATTGACAATTTCACATAAACATATTCAACCTTGGCCCACTTATTCTCAGATACTAATTATGCGTACTATTTTAAATTCATATAAGGTCTAAATATCTCAAAGAAAATAATGTGTTCGATGGTCCCTTGTGCTGCATACATTGTTAAGGAAACATTCATTGCATTTTGTTGTGAGAAACATTCATTTTGTCGTGAGAAACAGTCGCTCGAATTTTGTGTCGAATCTTGCAGTTTACGCGACAATGATTCAGTTTCGAAGTCTCATTTTAAGCGAAATCTAAAGGCATGTCAGGAGTTCGCAGAAGAACATATTGTTAGGTATGATGCAACAATCAACATGCAATTTCTTTCAGTGAAGAATCCAAGTTTGACCGGCACGGTTCTTACGAAATCAGATTCGTACGAAGAAGAAATGTGAAAAATGCTCCTCTGGCTTGCATAGAACCTGAATAATCATTCGTTTATTTAAATTTCGAATTTTAGAAAAGTACGCTAGGTTGAATGTCTAAATTTGTCAATAATTTAAGAATTATGACCTTATCTTTACCAGTTTTTAATTTTCACAACAATTTATCGTGAACTCTTACAGTAATTAAGTAATAATGGTCGAAGGTTTCTTCGTTCCTGATTAATGGGAGGTAACCGTAAATAAATTTAATTGAATACGTAAAAGATTACAAGAAAATATTTATATTTAATGCACTAGATGCGTTTCGTACAGAAAAAAAACAGACAATCCATGCATCAAACATGTCTGACCTACTGTAATCACTTACCAAACCCAACAGTGCTGAACTTGACTTATAAAATGACGTTTGTAATAATTTTAAGGAGCATTGCTAGCGATCATGCATCAGTAAGAATCATTATCATCACACTTTACACAAATCTTTTACACAAAAACGTCCATGAGAACACTAATTACATAAAAAAGGAGCCAAACACATTTTCCATAGCATTTGGAAACAAACACACATACATAGATCTTATCACAGTTCTAGTCCTCTTTAAACTATCGGAGGAAATTCTTGAATTTATTCAGAGGCTTGACATTGCAGACAAACACATCTAAAATTCGCGCCACGTCAGATCAAGTCGCCTGCTGATCCAGACAGTCAGCGTAACGTGCGTCATGCCGCGACGACGGCTGACGGTGGAGTGAGGCAGACTACAGTATAAGAAGCTGGTGGGATGAACGCTGTGGTCACGTTGTCGTTAGAATTGTGTACGGTTCGCGAAAAAGTGGATCTAAAATTTTTACACACATAAATAAACAATATTTTGATAATTAGTTCATCAAAGAAACTGTTAATTGATCACCGAGTTTGCAGCTTAATGCAAATTCGGTAACTGACAGTATGCTACATACGTAGCATACTGTCAGTTACCATACAGCATACTGTCAGTTACATACAGTATGCTACATACGTAGCATACTGTCTCTAAAAAATTGGTGCTTATAGAACTATATTGAATTGAATTGAAGACTTACACCTTGCGTAGATAAATTAAGTTCCCTTTGAAGATTATGAAAAGTAATGATCACGGTTATATTTTGACGGTTGATTTAGTATTTTTTAATGTTGAAACCCATATCAGGCCGGGTTCACATCATTATACTGCAGGGCACGTGCTTGCAGGTATGTCAGTCACGGTCCAGTCCTAAATTCTTAATGCATTTCCATAAAAAAAAACATTCACATTCACACCATGGACATGGCAGGTGCCTTGTACGGCTGGTGTGAATGCTTCTACAGAAAAGCATTAAAGAATATTGGACTGTCAAGTACGATGTGAACTCGCTATTAATTTTACGTTAGGATGTGATGTAATTAATTCTATGCTATCTATACATCATCGCATACGTTTCACTATACGGTAACTGAAAACATCCCATACAAAACGACAATTTTTTTAAAGAAATAGCAGCAGTGAAGCAGTTAATATGAGCAAGATTAATGTATTTTTTTCAAATTATAATTGAAGATAAATTCTAATTAATTTATCTTTTTATCCCAACTTTGGTATTAATCATTCATCCTATCAATAAAAGCTGCAATCCTACAATATATAATACAAACAATAAATCCAAATAACAATAAATCCAAAGTTAGATAAGGAACAACGGCGGTAGGCCATTATAAGTGTACCAAACCATTTTTATTGTGCGTATACCATTTTGGGTGTGGCTAATACATTTCAGGTTTAGCCAGTCTATATTTATTGAGCCCATAACATTTTGAGTTCATCGTAAACATTTTTACTGAGCCTAAACCATTTCAGGGCAGTAGTCAAACAATTTTAAGTGTTCTCAACTCATTTGTAATGTGCCAATGTCATTTTTTGTGCTCAAACCATTTCTATAGTTCTCAAACCGAACAAATTTTCAACTGCACGCACCATTTTTATCGTGTCCAAAAACATATTAGTGTGCCCGTAAATGGTTGTCTAAAGAAGGAACGCCTGCTACCGTCAGACCTTGATCGAGCGTGGTCTATAACTACCTTTAGCGAATACCATTTGGTATCTGCTGAATTAAATTCACAGCTCATGAAATTCTTCTTTTCTTATTCTCTCTGACCGCTTCAAAAATGCTTTGGTGAGTGGATGTTAACAGTTATTTTTTAACTCTTAATTATGTATATATATATTATATATATATATATAATATATATATATAATTATATATATAGCCGCATAGGGAAGGTAAAATGCAATGAACGTCTCTTAGAAATAATTTATTATCGCTTAAAAATCAAGATGAGTTGGAAATGTCTTCTAGAATGGAATGCTTAAGACGTATAAATAAGTATATCTAACCGTTAAAAAAACAAGAATAGACAATACATATTAAAAGATTATAAATATAACAATGTATGGAAAACCTAATTTTGTACAATTTTCCAAGCATTGTTTTTCGGAAAAAAATATTATGCAAACATTTTCCGAAATTTTAAACAAAAACTTGGTGAAGTCGCTCTAAGTAAAACTTGTCACATTAATTGGATTCACGTTAGCTTGGATTTCATTTATCATTGATATGTTATCCAACAAATGATATTCATAATTTTAATTCACCCATCAAATTATATCCTTCTTGTTTGTTCATTTATACCTTCGTAAAATTTGCAAACTCTGAATTTATTTTGGGAAAATAATGAAGATATTCACATTTAAATTTATAAGTTTATCGATTTTTCTAGCTAAAATGGAATTTCATCTGTTGAAAATATACCGCAATGCAATAATTGACTTAAAATCCATGCATTTATTGGCTGTATTTAAGAAATATTACAACCCTACATTGTAAATGAGATATTTCGTTGGACGAGTGGAATTGGGTTGACAAGTCACAGCACAATCAGTGACAGTCTTATCAAGATATGGATTGCTGCTGATAACGCCATCTTGCCATCATCTGCAACCTGGTTGCTCCTTCAGTTGTTCGGGAGGTGCTGGCCATTGTTCTTACGCTGTACGAGTTGTAATGTCTTCTAGAATGGAATGCTTAAGACGTATAAATAAGTATATCTAACCGTTAAAAAAACAAGAATAGACAATACATATTAAAAGATTATAAATATAACAATGTATGGAAAACCTAATTTTGTACAATTTTCCAAGCATTGTTTTTCGGAAAAAAATATTATGCAAACATTTTCCGAAATTTTAAACAAAAACTTGGTGAAGTCGCTCTAAGTAAAACTTGTCACATTAATTGGATTCACGTTAGCTTGGATTTCATTTATCATTGATATGTTATCCAACAAATGATATTCATAATTTTAATTCACCCATCAAATTATATCCTTCTTGTTTGTTCATTTATACCTTCGTAAAATTTGCAAACTCTGAATTTATTTTGGGAAAATAATGAAGATATTCACATTTAAATTTATAAGTTTATCGATTTTTCTAGCTAAAATGGAATTTCATCTGTTGAAAATATACCGCAATGCAATAATTGACTTAAAATCCATGCATTTATTGGCTGTATTTAAGAAATATTACAACCCTACATTGTAAATGAGATATTTCGTTGGACGAGTGGAATTGGGTTGACAAGTCACAGCACAATCAGTGACAGTCTTATCAAGATATGGATTGCTGCTGATAACACCATCTTGCCGTCATCTGCAACCTGGTTGCTCCTTCAGTTGTTCGGGAGGTGCTGGCCATTGTTCTTACGCTGTACGAGTTGTGGTAAGTATATACTTATGCCTTTTTATTTCATTTTCTCATTTATGGAAAAAATGCACTATTGTGCTCGCCATGTCCATCTGTCTGCCTGTCTGTCCGTCCGTCTGTCCGTCCGTCCGTGACCTCAAGTTTTCGTCGACGAGAAAATGCGCTCTCTGTCACTCACTGCAGTGAGTACTGGGTTTTATTTTTTATTTCATTTTTTTACGCTGCTTGTATAGTAATAAATATATATTTATGTATTTATATATTTCTTCGATGTTCTTACGCTAGTTGTATGCATGTGTTGCACATTTTAATTTTTCTCTCATGTTATTACACTGCATGAATACGGTAGGTATATCTATACATTTTTTCTTCTATGTTCTTATACCGCAGGAAGTATATATTCTGTTATGTGTTACTTCCTTGCATTATGCATTCTAAAAATTAGATCACTATATCTTTCCATCTATCTTCGAATAATGCGGGCCGTGAAGCAAGAATAATTACATGAAATAGTATCTTAACTTATATGTGTAATAATATCGAGCAATTATATAATTTCCACTTTTAAATATTCTTCCTAATTAATTTTTTGACGGAGTTCTTAAAAGTTGACCGCAGAGTAAACTTTGAATTAGAGCCAAGATCAAATAAATTCGTGGCACTCAAATTGGTAACGCAATTGCGCAATTGCGTGAATGGGAGTTTATTGTCGGAAGAAGAAAGGGAAATAAAAGCTTTCGTAAAAAAACGAATTAAACGGGAATTTTGGAAGTGGTAGCCAACTGATGAAAGTTTTATCCGTGGGAAATAATAAAATAAATGGATTTCGAATACCGAACCGGGTCATCATATCATGGCAGAGTTCATATTTTCAATTATTGGCAGAGATCATGTTTACAATTATTGACAGAGATCATGTCTGAATGGTATTGCCCGTTTATTTATAAACGAAATAAATAATTTACATTGTAATGCTGTTCGAGCAGCACTTCGAGTCCCATGTGATAAGATTGCGCATATCTGCATCCCATTTTCGCTGAAAGAACCTCTGCTCATTAAGAAGTCTTGCATTTTTCTTAAAGCACATTCGTAATAATTTATGATTTCTTAATTCACATTCGTAATAATTTATCTTTTCTTAAGCCACTTTCGTAATGATTTATCTTGTCTTAATGCACATTCGTAATGATTTATCATTTCTTAAGCCATATTGTTAATGATTTATCTTTTCTTAAGCCACATTCGTAATGATTTATCTTTTCTCAAGGCACATTCGTAATTATTTATATTTTCTTAAGCCACATTCGTAATGATTTATCTTTTCTCAATTCACATTCGTAATGATTTATCTTTTTTTAAACCCCATTCATAATAATTTATCTTTTCTTAAGCCACATTGGTAATGATTTAAATCCGTTTATCATGTGTCAGGAACAAATGACTTGCACTGATGGTTGCCGCCACGTACGACAACTTTAAAATGTTCTCTGTTGCGTACAAACGTCCTCAGGTTGCAACACTCAATAGTTTACGTATAATTTGCCGCCACGTACGACAACTTTAAAATGTTCTCTGTTGCGTACAAACGTCCTCAGGTTGCTACACTCAATAGTTAACGTATAATTGTTATGTTGAAAGTTTAACTTTAAATGCTCTCTGTTGTGTACAAACGTCCTCAGGTTGCTACACTCAATAGTTTACGTATAATTTAAGTTGAAAGTTTAACTTTAAAATGTTCTCTGTTGCGTACAAACGTCCTCAGGTTGCTACACTCAATAGTTTACGTATAATTTAAGTTGAAAGTTTAACTTTAAAAGGTTCTCTGTTGCGCACAAACGTCCTCAGGTTGCTACACTCAATAGTTTACGTACAATTTAAGTTGAAAGTTATGTTCCCGGAGGGTGACATACGTCGATAGAGGGTTAACAGAAGCCCTCACCTCTCAACAGTGACAAGGGCTGGCACGTTGACCACGCGCGACACATCAACGTGCGTTCTGTGGCTCATTAAATTGTGTAATTTTCTTGCGAAAAAGCGCCACCACAGCATATATAAGACGCGCACATTGTTCCCATTGTTTTCTGCGTGTAGAAAATATGCGATTTATGTTTGATACACATAATTGTGATGCTATGTTGTGGGTTTTACATCCAGTAATTATTGATTTAGAGCAACTTCAGATGTAATGAGCTAGTTTGAATATTCGCTTGTTCTACGAGCTTAATATTACACCTCACATGTGATTTTTTTAATTTTGTGTGTTTATATATGTATATTTTTTTCGGAAACAATCGCTATTTTGCAATAAATGCTACGATTTTCAGACAATTTTTGTTGAAATGAAGCTCCTTTTTAACGTACGTTTATATCCTTATTTAAATCTTCTTAAAAGCATACATAGACATTCAGAATCATTTGTGGAAAAAATTTTCCAAGGAATAGAATAGTCATTTTATTAGTTTGCAATAAATTCAGATGATTAAAGCGTTTGTCATTACAATTGACATTTAACCTGCCACTCGAAAATTTATTCAAGAACTTAGAGTTCATCATACATGTTATTAATGTGAAATCTAGAATTTATAAACTATGAATTTTTCAACGAATTATCCATAAATTGGTGACAAACTTTTGATTGAGATATAAATTTGATATTTAGTTTTCATGCCCGTATTTCTCACGCAGAAGTCCATCCTTAAATTGTGTACAAATGGCCGACCGTTGTATTTTTTATGATATAAGCCTAATTACTTAATTTTTTAACACAGAATAAAAAAGTACAAGATGGCGCCTGTGTTGTACTACGCCCCAGCTTCACCACCATGTCGCAGCGTAATGCTGGTCGCCAAGGAGGTCGGGTTGGAACTTCAACTCAAACCCGTGGATGTGATGAAGGGAGAACATATGAGACCTGAATTTCTCGCGATCAACCCTCAGCACACCATACCCACCTTGGTGGATGACGACCTCACCCTCTGGGAGAGGTGAGGTTAGGTTGTAGCATTTCAATTGGGTATGAAGTTTTTTTTTATAACAGTGAGCCTCACATTTTTTATAATGTGAGCCTTGACAATTGAAAGTATCTTCCTGTTGAAATGAATTGAGGCAAAAATCGGCTTTTGACAGTTGATTCGAGTGCTGGCAATTGTTGATTCGAGTCGTGGCATGGCTCTATTAAATGGGATTGAAGTAAAAGAATTGGGTCGTGACAGTTGATTTGATCGAGCCTTGAAAATTGACTTGAATCATCCAGTTGATTTAGATTGAGGAAGGAAAATCGGTTTGTGACAGTTTATTTTAGTCTAGATAATTGATTAGTTCAATTTAATTGAATTGAAGCTTGATAAAATAAGTTGTTGCGTTTGATTTATATCTAGAAAAATATATTAAACCTCAATCCAATTGATTGAGGCTTGTGATTGAGGTATGTGGCAACTTATTCGAAAACAGACCGTGGTTTCACTATACTGCAGATTTTTTTATTTGTGTAGATTGAACTAAGGCGTGAAGATTGTTGGGAGGCTTTACGGTTAAATGAGCTGCGTCATTTCATTTCAATTTAGCTTAAAAAGATTTTAAATGAGAAATTTTAATTGTTAGAGGGAATTTAACGAAACTGTTGCCGTAATTAGGGAAAATCATGTAAAAATTACATGTTGATTAATTTTATTAATCTGATTTGTGATATCGATGATCTTTAGAGATTAAATCAATGTTTTATTTTAACAACATAGAATAAATTTATTAAGTATTGAAAAATGGAATTCTGTTGAGTCAATATAGTCTTCTGTTGAAATTCCCAATGCCTCGAAACTTCAAGTGATGCGGCAAAAATGTATCCAACCATCAATTTAATTGTATATCGGATCTACAGCATGTGTGACAACATTTTCAAAACCAATATAAAATTGGCTATTTCATATCTTCTATTTATATTTTTATGACATTATTGAATATCATCAATTTATACAATCACTGTGTGATTGTATAATTTATTCCTAATTCACTCATGTATAAATTCATTAATGTCTCGCCTATGTACTTACTTAAAAAATATAACTCAGTACTCACTGCAGTGAGTGGCAGAAAGCGCATTTTCTCGTCGATGAAAACGTGGTCACGGACGAACAGACGGACGGACATGACGAGCACAATAGAGCCTTTTGCCATAAATGAGAAAATGCGCTAAAAATTATTAAAAATATAACTCAGTACTCACTGCAGTGAATGATAGAGAGCGCATTTTCTCGTCGACGAAAACGTTTAGTCACGGACAAACAGACGGACGGATGGACAGACAGACGGACGGACAGACGGACATGGCGAGCACAATAGTGCATTTTTTAATAAATGAGAAAATGCGCTAATAAATCGCACATGTACTGTGAACCTATGTACTGTAAACCGTTTGCAGCCGAGCGATCGTGCAGTACATTGCCAACACGTACGACAAGAAGGGCCTCATCTACCCGAAGGAGGCCAAACTTCGGTCCAAGATAGACCGCCTTCTCTACTTTGACTTCGGTAGCCTCTACAAAGCCTTCGCTGACTTCGCGGTGAGATCATGAATGCTAAACTATTTTTTCATGTTGCTGAATTCGGTTTTGTGAATATCAGCCTAATTTACCGACTATCAAATAAAAAATAACCTTTTTTCTCCAACTTTGAGATTTTTTGGTCTTTTGTGGCCTATGCCTTCGCTAACTTCGTGGTCATGACTGATAATTAGTTTTCTTTGCGCTTGGAATTCAATTTGAAACAGAATAGAAGAGAACAGAAGTGTCGGCACTGAAGAAATAGGTCCATGGCCTGTTGCCGATTCATGTAGTTTCATGAGATTTATGCAGGATTCAGCATAATTTAACGACCATCAATGTATGTATTTTGTGTCCTGATTTATGTTACCTGTAGAATCATTTCATAACGGAATAAATGTTGCCAATTCGGCACCTTGTGTTACGAAAAGTAGTGAACTAGGTTTCTAAAAATTCTTACACTTCTGCCGCTCATTGTAAATATTCATAAATGACTGGAATATTTGTAATCCATCTTCAGAAATGCATAAAATATTTATAAAAATCCAAAATAATGCAATTTATTTCCGAGCTTAGATTACAGTTTAGATGCTCAATTTAATTGTTTCTAAAATACACTTAGAAAAATTAATGAGTAATATTGTCCAAATCGTGGCACACGATTTGCCCGTAGCACTGATATGCACCGATGTCTGAATAACCCACACAATGGCAATAAGTGCATCGCTATTTGGACATAGTCTCATTTATTTATCTGAGTGTTCACATTAGAACATTTAATTGAATGGCATGTTCTTGCAGTTTCCAGTTCTGAGGGAGGGTGAAAAACCAGATTCCGGAAAACTTGCCAAGATTTACGACGCTCTTGCATTGCTGGAAACTTTCCTGGAAGGCCACTTGTTCGCAGTAGGCAACCGCATCACCATTGCGGACCATGTTCTGGTGGCCACGGTATCTACCTTGGATGCTGCTGGTATCGATATTACCAAGTACCGCAATGTGCAGAACTGGTACCAGCGATGCTCAGGACAGATGCGTGGTTATGAAGAGGTCAATGGAAAGTACCTACCAGATATCGGTAAAATGATGAAGCCAAAATTGAGGGTTTAGAGACAACCGTAACCTGCAGGTTGTGACATAAATAGATTCTTAAATTATCCGTAATATGCCAGTGAAATGCCAGTGAATTCACCATATCTTATTGCTGAGACGTTTTCAATGAAGGCATTCACCATATCAACATTGAATTGTCTTTAAATGAAGATATAATGAATTTAATATGCATTTCCCTTGCTATCTTATTTTTGGTCAATTTGCGAAAAGGAAACAAATTATATTGATACCAAAATCCAATAAATGGAAATTTATAGAATGATGAAATCCCAATTAGGATGTAAAGCGGCTATTGACATTCTTGAAGAGTGCTTTGAAATGAACCGAGTTTTGTTAATTGCAGTGGAATAACAAGTTTAATAAATAATACACCTGTTAAATAAATAAATAACAATCAAGTCATTTTTTTGAAAGGATTATTGCCCTTAAAAACATATGTCCTCAACAATATTCACTATTTAAAGGAGTAGAAAATCATATATAGGACTCCAGTGGTACTCTTTCTATTATAATTCCTTAGATATGCACTTCATATACTTCATACTCACATCAAATTAATTACTGAAACTACAAAGTATTATTGCTCAAAACTCGGGAGCTACTCTAATTGCATGTTGGGGTCCCTATTTTAACTTTACAGAAATTCAGAAACTTCAGAATTCAAAACCGAAATTCAGATCACTTTACAAAAAGTAAAATTAAAATAAATAGAACAACTATTGAAAGTCAGTGTCAATTTATTTCAAGTATCGATGTAAATGAAGGAATACCAGCAAATTGTGTCTTGATATATAGTTAGTTACTTGAATATGTTTTGCAATCATTCGCGCAAATCGAATCTAAATTGTTAACAAAGGGATCAGCTACATGCGAGCAGTTTGCACACCGATATTTTATTTACGAGCTTCTGATGAAACTCCGTCGTCTGCAGCTTTCCAGAAAAGATGTGTTTAATTTTTGATATATTTTTAAGAAGTCAAAATAAATTTCTGCGTAATTTTTTATGTCCTAAAGCCGTCGGATGGTAAGAATCATTCGTAGTCTTTTAATAAATCATGTACAACGTTTAAAATGAGAGGGTATAAATTTTAATGGAATTCACATTATATTTGAACATTTGGGAACACTAAAATTGCCAAATTTACTATTAATTTCTAAGTTTGTCAATGAATGAAACAAGCGGGAAAAAATTCCGACCAATTAACTTGATCGTGCATCTTTATTACCAGAAAATAGTTCGTGCGGTTGTCATAACATTTATGAATTTAACAATAAAGCTTTCGACCTCAGCAAAAATTTTAGGAACTAGGACTAAAATTGTTTTTTCCGGAGCAATTTTATTATGAATTTGTCATGATAAAACTGCTCGCCCACGAGGAATAAATAAATCTGAAGAATAAGTTCATATGAGTTGCAAATCATGAACATAAGTTTGAGTTTTCAGCGTCTGATAAAGCTAATATCGAGTAGTAGTATGAATAATATTTCAATATTAGAGTGAGTTGAAAATATAAAGAAACTTAATTTGAGAGCTTAAGTGAGAATTCAGCAGCAAGGCTCCATATTAGACCCTACAGCCCGCACCAAGGGTCTGCGCTAGACCCTGCAGCCCACACCAAGGGTCTGGGCTAGGCCCTGCAGCCTGCAACAAGGGTCTGCACTAGGCCCTGCAGCCCGCACCAAGGGTCTGCACTAGACCCTGCAGCCCGTACCAAGGGTCTGCGCTAAACTCTGCAGCCCGTACCAAGGGTCTGCGCTAGACCCTGCAGCCCGTACCAAGGGTCTGCGCTAGACCCTGCAGCCCGAAGGTCACAGGTCAGCATTATGAGATGTAGGTCACAGGTCAGCGTTATGAGAAGTATTCTGCAATTATCAATATGAGATGTACTTCGCAGCTCATCATTATGAGGAATATGTTATAATTATCATTGTGAGATGAAAGTTACATGTTTTCATTATGAAAAAATTGTAAGGTCATACATTAAGGTCACAGGCTATACTTATGATATTTAGGCATTAGGCCATCATTATAAGCCGCAGACAGGCCTTCAATGAAAGATAAACGAATAAACATGAAAGAAAATGAAGTAAGTAAAAAATAAATCAATTATGAATGGTAGGTAAATAAAAGAAATTACGATATTAAAAATAGCAAGCGCGGTGAAAAGCAACCTATTCACTTCAGTTCAAATAAACAATGCTAATTCATTGAGGAATTCATCGAGAAATTCATGATGAAATTTTTGTGAGTAATTCATGAAAGATTTTGGTGAGAAGTTCAAGGAGGAATTCAGCGAGAACTTCCTGATAAAATTTTGTTAGGAATTCATAAAGGATTTCGGTGAAAAACTCATTGATAAATTCGGTAAGAAATTAATTGACAAAATTTAGTTGCAAGTTTAGTCATACCTGCAGAGCTGGCAGTCCTGTGCCTCTCTTAGCCTCGTCGTGAATTCTTTTAGGCGCAGCCTCTCCGCCTCTGCCTCCTCTTCCTCGGCCTCTTCACGCGCCTCACGTGCCTCGGCCTGGATATTACCCATTATTATTTCACGGTAACGATAAATACAATCATATCAATTATATACTATTATATTATATTAAACTATACGACTATATCACGCGTACTGTGCTGAACGCTAGATTTATACAATAATTATAAGTTATATATTGAGATATCTAAATATATATTTTTTGTTACAAAAGGTTTTTAATTCGAGCTTTCTTGATATTTAATTAAATTATATACTATTATATTATAATAAACTATACGACGTTATCACGCGTACTGTTCTGAACCCTAGATTTATACAATAATTATAAGTTATATATTGAGATATCTAAATATATATTTTTTGTTACAAAAGGTTTTTAATTCGAGCTTTCTTGATATTTAATTAATATGAGAATTTTTTAACGAGTTTCCTTTAAAACGGAGGCAGGAGTTTCGACCGGAGCGTATCAGAAATGTTCTCACTTTATGTGCTTGAAATTTGTAGGCTTTTTGATGGGAAATAAAAAGGCTTTCATATCTTGTTTAAACTTTCATATTAATTAAAGATTTGTATGCTCTCCATTTGTAAAATCATGTACAATTTACATTAATTGCGAACGTTTTTACGCTAATTAATTCACATTGTGCCTTTTATAAATGCAACTATATTTCCCTGAACGCTCTTCAATTTTTAAACGCATTCCAAGTACCTACATTACTTAATGTCATATCATATAAGGTTACAAATTTAAGAACTATTCGTACCTCCCATATTATACGTATTTTTAGTATATCACTTAAACCATATAATATAAGGTTCCAGTTTTAAAAGTTCTTCGTACCTCCCTTATTATACGCATTTTAAGTATGTTATTTAAAATCATATAATTTAAGACTTTACTTTTAAGAGTTCATCGTACCTCCCTTATTATACGCATTTTAAGTATGTTATTTAAAATCATATAACATAAGGTTCTAGTTTTAAGAGTTATTCGTACCTCCCTTACTATACGCATTTTGAGTATATTACCTAAAATCATATAATATAAGACTCTAGTATTAAGAGTTAATCGTACCTCCCTTATTATACGCATTTTAGGTATATCACTTAAAATCATATAATATAAGACTCTAGATTTAAGGGTTCTTCGTACCTCCCTTATTTGTTGTAACCTGTTCAGCTGACGCTGATTCTCTTCGTCCTGCAAGCGGTTTCGCTCCTCTTTAAGTAGCTCTCTACATGGAGGAGAGAGAGAATGCAGAAATGAATTAATTAAATAAAAATTCTATGAAAAATGTGAAAAATAAATAAATAGAATACAGTGGGTACAAATAAGTAATTTCATCAATCGGTTCCTAAAAGGAACAAATTCTTAGTGAATTTAAATTGGCTAATGCAAGAACTTCAAACTAATAGATACAGCTCCAAAAAATTTTTCCATCGCGCATTCCATGAATGAAACCTGAAATAATTCTTAACGAAATCAAATTTGTATCGTCTAGATATTGAAGATAGGATTAAATTTATTGAAATAATATTAAAATTCATCGTTTTTCAAAATAGTAATTTTTCGTCGTATTAATCTTTTTCGAATTAAAATTATTATTATTATCATTAAGTTTCAATATAATATAAAGGAGGCTGGTACTGCACACGAAAGAACAGATGCACCATTTTCTCAATACTACCCATTTTTTTTAATCATACTCATTTTATTAAATTTAGGAGCTGCTCAGAAAAATACATTATTATGTGCTCATGTAATTAATCTCTTTAAACTATCTTTGTAGCCGCCATTTTCCCTTTTTCTGAAACTTGTAGCAATAAAATTAGCCTACTCGACGCAGTTGATTTCACTAGCGTCATTATCATTCATTGTTAGCCCTTGATATACGGATGCCTTCTCTACCAGGGGAACCAAGCTATTCGGTTCGTTCGATTTATAGTTTGTTTTCGTGAATTATTGATTATCCTGTTAAATTATTGCTTTATCTTGGTTCTTATTTCATGTAATTAGCGTATATTTTGTCTTGTATATATTTCTTATGTATATTTGTCATTTCCTTTCTAGAAACCGTACATCATGGAATACTCGTTTTTTATCCTGCTGTGATGGCGCGTCTATGAATAGTTCGGTAAACGTTCCCAAAGGACTAGCCAACAAGAAAGTCCTTTACAATCTTACTCATTTATTATAAATAGTGCATCATCTAAATGCCTAAAGTATAGCAATAACGATCTATGATTTCGTTTTTAGAGAGATTCCTCTTTAAAATTCTGACGGATTTATGAAATAGTGGATCATCTGAATGTTTCCAATACAGCAATAAGTATTGGCGAAAGTCAAGGTAATTTTAGTGGACAGTTGTTGACCAGCGCTGGTGAATGTGTTTGCTTAGCTGGCCACGCGGTGATATGTCACGGGAGGTACATACTGGAAAATACACCAAATATACAAAAAATACGAATAGCTAATAGAGTTTATACACTGCTTCTACTGCAATATAGTTGAGTTTATACACTGCGCTATAATTAAGGCGCTGGCTAACGTATCGTAAATGATCTCAGTTTTTCAATTTCATAGAAAGTTTTGATAAAATTACTGGCGTTTAATTAAATTTTTAACATGGTTGATTAATTCTGACGTTTAATGATACACACTTAGGACTTATATGTAATCTTAAAATAAACTTCATGCGTTTATTTTCATCAATTTAATCAGGTTAATGCTCACACTCTCTTTGTAAGAATTATTGCAGTTAAAATTTAATACTTTGAGGGAAATTTGAGAGCAAATTTAATTTTTGAAATAGATTTTGAAGACCATCTATAATTTTTTGTCTCTTCACATTAGCAAAATGCAACCAATAATTTAACAGCAAAGAAAACGTTATGTATATATGAAATTTTTTATTTGCTATTA